TTTTTCTAAGTTATCGCGGATTCTGACATCTGCAACGACTGTACTGTCATCTGCATATTTCAGGCACAGTAGCGAGAGTCTGAGCCTAAAGTTGTTCGCATACAGGGTGAAAAGCAGTGGGAAGAGAATTTAATTGTTAGGAAGCTGTTGAGTCGAGTAGGTGCCATTAAAGCGCATAAATGTTTACGCTCACACAAGTACCACACAATGACTCGTGAGGAGCGATGACCAATTTCAACAGATGAAATTAACATATCTCATAATTATGAACATATAATAGGTGATAAAAGAAAAAAGTTATAATTGCAATGGGCAGAGCACGCTGCAAAACTATCGCTGAACCAGACACACATTAGACTAGGCTCCAAGATATAGCAAATGGCCCGTAGGAAGAACTCCAGATCGACCGCTGAGCGAGATGAAGAAGTTCGCCGGATCAAGATGGACACAAATGACAAAAAGAAGAAAAGTCCATGGCAAAGTCTTGGAGAAGACTTAATCAATGAGTGGATCAAAATGAGGTCAAAAGCTGATGATGATCTTATGATAGTTAATAAACAGGTTGAAGACAAAATCTACAGAATTTACAGATGAGGCGTATTCATACGAGATATATGAATCGAAACCAAATGCATCTGGCAATTGTACTAAGCATCACCTCGACGCAGATTACGTTTATTCCACAAAGAGATATTCGTAGAAATCGTACACCACAACACTTTATGTAATCTGAATCAAATACCTGCAGTGTGAATGCTACGTTTCAGCTTTTTTCAGTCGGTATTTTTCAATCGCTTGCGCATATAAATTTCTCGAAAACGAGAACTATTTGTCAAATAATTTAGAATCTTACTTTCAAAACGTATTCGAAAGGCTATAATTCAAACAGTCGTTCACGAATTCAAAGTTTTGCAAAGAAGAAAATGAGTCGCGTCGTATCTATCGCAACTATCGCAAAGCTTGAGACGGTGAACAATTGCACGTCGAAAGATGCACAACTGTTTATAAAAAGCTGTTTATAACATCATGCAGTCAGGTGGGTTTGCCAATTCGGTACAACAGATTCTGAACTACCTGATCTAAGGACAAATTCTGAAGAGAAGAACAGTATTTCTTCAAGTCAGATCAAAGCACTCCTGATCTGACCTTCGTCTTAAGCCAGATTGTTGAGAAACAGTGGGAGTTGGTTCATCCGGTAGAAATGTACACCGTCAACCTGAAGAAAGCCTACGACCAAATAATGCGCAACAAGATACAAGCACATAAGACCATTGTACCAGCATTCCAACGACCAGGAAGATAAAAGTAAATAGTGTTAAGTCGAAACTTTTCAGCACTGGCAAAAGTTTTCGCCTAGGCTGCGTTGTTCCCTCTTCTGGCGCAGCCAAGGGAATGAGTGTATCGGTGAAAGAGATGTGAAAACAAGAAGGATGCTGTCTGCAAACGACCTTATTTTATTAGCATCTTCTGAAACTGATCTATGGTGCTCCCTAGAATAGTTCTTAGCCGAGTGCGTCGTGGCCGGCATGCGAGTGAACGCATCTAAAACGAAAAGCCTAGCGCTATCTCGTTCTCCTGC